TGCAATTTCCGATCTTACGAAACGTTTTTGAAAATCCACAAATAAGGATCAAAACGTTTTGAAATTACCAAAAAAGAGAAAAACCTTTTGAAAACCCAAAAACAGCTTCGCATCTTTTTCGCTTTGCACTGTTTTGTGTATGGCTTTGCATTTATGCTGTTCTTTTCATTTTGCTTTCCATATACACCCCGCCGGTTGGTTGCACCTCGGTTTCACTTTCGCTGGATCCCCGCACGTCAATTGAAAGTGGAACGAATTTCCTGCTCAACTGCATTCGTGAACTTCACTAACTGTCTCCCACAAACAGTTTTTTACCGTTTCGACATCGTAGGGAGGACGCGGGTGGGAGCCCGCTAGGGTCCGATTGCATGGTTCTCCCTCAGCAGCTGCATCAGGTTTCACAACCCGGTCTCGCAGAAGGCTGGCCCGCGACGGACAGTCCTCACATAGATCGAAGGACTGCTTACACAGTCCCTCCTGTGGGAAGGCTATGTAGCAGTCTGGAGATTCCCCGGTTTGCCTGTGTAAACTTCTAACTAAACTTATTTCATTGTACACCTAGGCAACCGGTGTGGTTTATTGAACTGATCGCTGAGTTCGAATGCTTGCTTTGCTCATCGCCATTTTTGCTTGGAGCTCATTTCGGTTGCAACTCGCGGCTGACCTGTGTGCTGTGCTTGCTCCATTCCCCTAGCTAGAGCGTCCACGGTGTCGTTCTTTTATAGCTAGATAACAGGGAATCTTTTCCTGTAACAACAAAAGTTTCCCTGCAACTCGATCTGTCTTCTCGAATCGCTCTCTGGTCGCTCGGTACAGGCGACCCGCTAATTAAGTCAGTGCTGTTTGTACTTAGAGTAAATTACTTGTCTGGAAGTCTTGTAGTGATATCGCTAATGTCTACCGACAACTTTATTTACCGAAAACCCACGAATAACCCTGAGGGTGCTGAGCTAGTTCAGAGTGTTTGAATAAGACATAGGAATGGTTTAACTTATGGTTGACATCCGTAAATCGGGACAAGTGCATTATACTCCGTATAGGAGCTGGTAGTTCTCCCACAAAATACGTTGTTGACTCCTGTCACTCAGCAGGTTAATTTAAACGTCAACCTCTCATCAATCTTCCACTCTAGCGACAATTGGAAAAAAGCTGCTTGCCGATTGTTCCGCATGATGCGGTATATTAGCAACTCTTAAGGAATGTTGACGACCGATAAGTTTGTCAACATACTTTTGGCTTTCGTATGACCCCACTTGGAATACTGTCTCCAGGCTTGTTCACCATGTTTTATCCGAGACAAAATGTACTTGGTGATGGTTTTACATGTGGGTACCACGATATTTTAGGCTCTAAGGAAACAGAAATACTGAACGCTTGTTTAGATTAAGAACGAACTTAATGCACTACCAGCGTATTAGAGGGGATTGATCCACACACACAGTATTTTGATGGGATAGATCGGCCCAGATTTAGTTTGGTGTTATAGTCCCTCTAAGTTACTTAATCTCCCAGGTTACCCATTGAAGCAGCACGAGCCGCGCTCTGACCTGATCGGTTGTCGCGCCAGATAATAGAGCCCGGAAACTCGCTTTCAGGTCAGGGGGTTAGAAAACCTGTTTAATGTCTTTGCTTCAGTGATTCAACATAACGGTTAAACTACGAGGTACCCGTGTGTTCTCAAATATTTATATAGTGCGCGCTTACCACCAGATCCCGGTCGCCGACGATGACATAGCTAAACCCGCTGTCATTACACCTTTTGGTTTGTTTGAATTTCTTCGCATGATAATTGAATTGCGCAACACAGCGTTAGCATTTCAGCGTTTTATGGATTCCGTCACCCGTGGATTAGACTTCGTCTATCCCTATATCGACGATATATTAGTAGCCAGCGCATCCAAGGAGGATCATCAAGAGCACCTCAAAATCCCCTTCGAAAGACTGGCTGCCAATAGTATCACTGTCACTCCCGACAAGTGTACCTTTCAGCAGCCGTCTATAGGTTTCCTTGGCCATTGCATTGATCAATATTTCATACGCATTAAGGCGACAAGATCTAAGCTATCTGTGATTTTCCGCTGCCAAACACGGTAGCTGCAATTTGCCCTTTTAACGGCATGTGCAATTACCATCGACGATTTCTTCCGCATTGCGCTGATTTACTCAGCCTGCTGACCGACCTACTCCATGGTAACCAAAACGGGGATGTAGAACTTACCCTCGCCGCTACTTAAGCTTTAATTCCAGTAAAAATGCTTTAGTCGCCTCAGTTAGCTTTATCGTTTCGAAGCCAAAGCACCGCTTAGCATTGCCGTCGATGCATCGAGCACCGTTATTGGCGCGGTCTTACAGCAGATGATTAATTAATGTTGGCAGCCACTTGCTTTCTATTCGAGACGCTTGCAACCAGCGGAAATAACGTACAGCACATTCAGCCGAGAACTGCTGGCTGTTTACTCGACACTCCGGCACTTCCGACACATCCTCAAAGGTAATCACTCTGTCATCTTCCCCGACCATAAGCCCTTAAGTTTCGCCTTTTGCAATCATTCAACTCGACACTCACCGCGTGACGTTCGTCAGCTGGATTTCATTGCCTAATTTTCGACCGATATTCGACACATTTCTGGTCGACAGAATGTTGTCGCTGTTGCTCTATCAAGCTTATCTGCAATTAGCTCTGCCCCGCAGTAATTAATTCATCTGCCATAGCAGCTGCGCAAAAAACTGATCAGAGTTCTACAAAGCTTTCCGATCCTTCCTTGAAGATAATCCTACACCCCCTGCTGCCATCAGAAGGCACAATCTTATGTGACATTTCAACAGGACGACCTCGACCCGCCGCCCCGAAAGCTTCTGCCGTCTTATTTTTGATACGCTTCATAACATTACCTATCCAGGCATTAAAGTCATGGTCAGACTCATATCCGATCGATATGTTTAGCCTGGGCTGCAATGTGATTTTACATGTTGGGCACGCACTTGTCTCACGTGCTAGCAAGCCAAGATCCAACGGCACGTATCAGCTCCACGTAATTGCTTTCCGCCCGTTTCAACGCGATTTACTCATGTCCAACGCGACTTAGTTAGACCGTAGGCTCCGTCCAAATAAATGGTTTACCTTTTTACCATTATCGATCGTTTCGCCCGTTGGTCCGAAGCCGTCCTCATTCCTAACGTAGCTGCGGAAACCGTTCCACGCGCTTTTGTCGAGCGCTGGGTCACTTCACAAGGATGTCCAGCCACAGTGATTACCGACCGCGGTCCGCAATGCGAATCTTCGACTATCGACGACCTTCTTAAGGTCATCGGATGCCGACGCACTCGTACTACTGCCTACCATCCACAGACAAACGGCATGGTGGAACGTTTCTACTGACAGCTGAAAACTTAACTCAGCACCGCTAATGTAATGAGTTGAACTAAGCTGTGCCCATGATACTTCTTGGTATGCAATCGTCTCTCAAGGCCAATCTGCGTACGTCCAGCACCGAACTGTTAAATTCACAACCCCTACGTTTGCCTCGAGATTACTTGTCCAATAGTCCGAGAGTTCCCCGTTATGACGCAAACTACGCTTGTCAGCTAGCCATGAGCATGCGTCAGGTAAAGTTTGCTGGCACCAGAAAACAACAGTATAAGTCATTCTTTCCTCAGGACCTTCAGTACTGCTTGTTTGTTTTCCTCCTTGTTGATGGTCTTCGTAGACCACTTGAGCAACTGTATGGAGGTCCTTTCATGGTTCTACAACGCAACTATCGTGTATTTACCAGTGACCGATAAAATAAGCTGGAAGCTGTTAGCATTGACTGCTTCAAGGTTGCCCACATGGAACCTGAGCTCGAAACGATGTCTTCTCATCTTCCGACAAATCAACGCAGCCTATGACGGAAGATACTTCTGCTCCGAACGCTACTGACTCCAAGGAGGACAATCCATCTGAGTTTTCTACATTAGCTCCATCGATTTCCACGGAGTTCGGCGGCAAATCATCATCTACTCTACCTGCCACGCGATCCGACATAACGCTTAGGTCTACAACATCGCCACCTGAACCGCAGCAGTCGATTAGATAAGGTAGGCGAGTTCATTGGCCAGCGCGTGTAAAAATTAGCTTCCCTTCCGCTTCTCTTTTCGCGCTTTCATCATCTTTCTGGCTAACCCGTACGAAAATTATAAAAGGCAAAACTCTTTTAAAACCCAAAAAATGAATAAAACGTTTTGAAAACCCTAATATATTTTTGTCGGTACACCGCCATTCGGTGAGTGTCACTTTCCTGTTCGCTCGCCACCATAGTCGCAATACATATTTTTGTTTTCGTTTTATGTGCGACCTTGGGAAGTTGAGTTGAAAATGCATATTTGGTGTGCACCACCGAACCATTTGACGTTCGCGAGGTTTCAAACAGTTGAACCTTACGGACTTCCCTCCATTTTGTGTTTTTTGCACCTTTAGGTAGGACATGTGTGAGAGCCCGCTAGGGCCCGATGACACTTGCGTTCCCCGAGCAGCTGCATCAGGTCTCACCACCTGGCCAGTAGAAGACTGGATGGCGACGGACCGTCATCTCGTAGATCGAAGGGCCACCCAGGCCTTCCCTTCTAGGAGGGAGCTGTGTAGTGACATGAAGATTCCTCCACTTGATGTGTAAATGAATCCTAAATACTCTGATATCATAGTATTCTCATGTATTTGGGAAGTAAGTGGTTTGCATGTTTGTATGGTGTACATGTTTGTATGAGACACACCGACAACATCCGGACTTTGTATGCATGATTCGAAAGGAACGTCGGTTTTCCGATCGCAAACAGCACCCTAAGATATTCTCCCTAGCTAGTCATTTCCGGTGCCTTAGTTTTAATCTTAGGATTTAGCAACCTTCTAACAAACGTTTCATATCTTATTTTAGTGTGTTCTGCCGCACGCCTTTGGTTGGCCATTTAAATCTGAGTATCGGATATAGCGTTGGATCAACGCGTTATAATATCATTTTGACCAGTAATGTAGATATGGTTTTATGAAAGCAATGAAAAGTAGGAAAAGTACACAACTGGTTCACACATACTGGTCGATTGCAGGTAAAAATACAGAATACAGCATAAAAACGAAGGCTTTAAAAACTGTAAGGCGGTATTAAATATGTATCTCTCAGAGAATTTGAGATCTGTGTAAATATAAGCATTGCTGTGTATTCGAAAGTTAAATTCGAGAACTCTTAGCAACGTTAGTGGACGTGTTATCGTAATCTTTTCGCAACCATGCCAGTAACATTTTTGAGTTATCTAGAATCTATATGATGCCTTAAAAAATATATGTTCTTATCTCACTTTATTGTAAGCCGCTTGGGATTCGGCGATTGTTTTGTCATATGCATTTCTAATTGTTATCTTTTCACTTAAGGTTTCGTTAACTTTTGCTAACTTGTCCGCCAGCAATCTTATATCATGTTGAAGTCGGTTTTTCTCCTCTTCGATTTGAATGATTGACTTTTGCAAAATATCCCTCTTTTGACACAATCCGTCGATTCCTTAAAAGGCTGCAAACCATATAATTTAACTACTGCTTATCATTTCATTGTTGTGTTCGTTCAAAATCTTTGCCTGCTCAGACATTATGTTCAATTTTGTGGAAGTTTGCTAGTTGTCATAGCCACTGATTAAAACAGTAGAGTGGGTGCGCCTGTAGGACATACCAGGCATTATATACTAATCCTTTAAAAATGTGTTTAGTTATAAACATTACGTTCTCAAATCCTAACGATTTTATTTTAGTGCTAATTATGTTGCTGTTGAATGACCACATCCTCAGCCGTTCTATTGAGGTTAACTCAATTAGCGTGAAAACCTTAATCTTCGATTTTACAGTCTACATAGTAACTTAGAAATGCCTTTCCATACGGTCTGTTGAATACTGCAGGAAAAGTTATTTACTAACTGCAGTTTCGTGATGCTTATAAATGTCATTTTCGCACGTTACCGCAATACAGTGCGACGAAAATATACAAAATTTACTGTCATCACCGAGTATCACCCATGTAGGGAATGCAATCCAGCCGAGCACTGGTAGAAGCTGTTTTGGCGCTAAATGTACGCGGTTTCACAGCTCACGGATGCGCGCAATCACGAATACGATGTACTTCAAACACACAGCGTACAACGTAGTGGCACTGTATGAACTGCGAAAAGTGTGTGCAATAAAAAAGCAAGTTACATCAATTTTGCAACGGAAAATTCGATTATGTCATCCATTGTCCAAAAAACAGCTGAAAGCGTTGATAGTGTGGTTCATTGTTACTTTAAATGAGGTCTAATGAACTTGGTCGTCTGCTGTTATTTCGAATTCCACCCATAAAGGCTGAGTTCAAAGATATCTATCGTGGACATCCGTTCCAGAGCTTTGCTACATTACATTCGCTGTTTACGTCATTTATTCATCTCCACAACGTCAACTTTTCTGCTGTAGCAGCAAAAGAAGCAAGTACCATAACTTGAATTATGATCGCATCGTTTATAAATGCGTGCGCTGCAAGAGCCGCAAAGGAAGAAGCAAAGGAATACAGCAAGGTTAGTATGTGTTTTATGATTTTGTTGACTGTTTAATTCGATACTCGAGACACCGATTGCAGTGCTCGCGTCAATGTTGCTCGGGATGGTCGTAAGCCAAAGGTCCTAACGTTCGACCTGGCATGCAACTGTCCATGCAACCGCTTCCATTTCGAAAAGCGCCCTCTAAAACTGTTCCCAGCGACTACGTTTGTAATGTACGCCGCAGGATGCGCTCGCCCGTGTCTTGTAGGTGAAATGTCATGTTAATATTGCTAGTCAATGTGCGGCAGGCACTTAAGAGAATGGAACAGGATGTTTTCGTGCAAACCATATCTGAAAAAGGCTTATTTACGCAAGTGTGCTTTGCTCGTAGCCACCTAGTTTAAATGTTTCTTCTATTCCCGCACGTGGTGTGCGTGGCTGCAACGCATGGTACAAACTACCTTGGATACTTATGGTATTCATCCTTAAATTTCGCTATATTTTCAACTTGTACCGGTACTTGGTAACAGACGACATGGGTTACGGCCGGCCAGTTTTGTATGGTTTTGTGCGTAAAGAAATATTTAACCCGTTAGTAAAACTCTTTTGTTCATTTCGTGAGGCCATGCACCATGATTTCTCCTTACGCACTTTCATTATGGATGAAATGACTTCTCAACTGAGCGCAGCGAAAGCTGTATTCCATTGTGAAATACTGCTGTGCTACTTTAACCTTCGGGTGGCCGTTCGAAAGCACGTGAGTTAAGCGAATTTCTTAGTTCGTGCTGTAGACTAATAGCTTCCGCAAACGTTATTTATTTCATGGAATGTCCATAATGGATACGGAAACGGGTATCCTCCCTTTCCGACACTCACACTGGCTCAGTGACATTAGTCGCTGACTCGCAAGATTAAGGTCATGGGTTCGAATCCGGCAGAATTCGGCGGGGGCGCTACTGACGAGTCCCAATAGGATGAAACGGCAGTCTAGCGCTTTCCTGGATTGGTGGTGGCTGTCAGCCTATGAGTAACTGCAACGAATCTACATAAAAAGGCAAGTTCATAATTTACGTTAGCTGCTACTTGAATGCAAAAGCAGTACTGCGTTCTATGAACTATTAGTTAAAAGCTTATTGTTCCCTCTACTGGTACGGTACTCACAATTAGTGCGGACATACATTTATCTACATCATTATTCATTCAAGAGCAAGTAGGTTCTGTACACAATGGTCGGATCCTCTGGAAACAGCTTTTAGCCACTGTCTAGAAATAAAACTTCTTACATATATTATTTACGCACGTAGTCTTTTGAAAACGTCAAAGCCATAACAGTGAGCACTTATTTTTAATTAGAGTGCGATTTCTGCTCTCGTGAAACAAACGGCTTATTCGATTCCGGTTAGCCTGTCGTCAGTAGAAAAGCGCCCTTGCGGCTAACATAGGTGAGGCCTTGAACGCACCTTCTACAGTCGTTGTAACCAATATTAGTCGTTGTCTTCTTCACCAAAAGGCGTTTATGCGTGACACAACTAAAAGCCACTGCTTCCAGGATAAAGGTACTTTAGGTTCCTGCTACTGCAGTGTTCTTTGTACCCCTTTAGTCTAAATAAAGTGCTAATGATCCTATAATTTTCTTCAAGTAAGTTTGGTTTCGTAGACCATGTTACATGTCTAAAAGGAACATAAAACTTCAAGGAAAATGTTAAGCCGCATTGATTTGTCTAGGCCTGCAATCTTGAAGGATCAAACGGTATGAAATCATCTGTGTAGTTTAGCCAGAACTAGCTCTGGCGGCTGAAGTATGCCCATAATAAATATACTGTAAATACCTTGCAGCAGTCTGATGTGGCTATTCGTTTTAAAAACGGCACTAGGTCTGAATTGTGCGAGCATTTCCCCTCAGCTAGGCGCAAGCTAATATCTCGGTAAATTCAAAACTATCTTATATGGAAAAGCAAATGATTGTGCAAGCAGAATATGCCGTGTGCACACAATACCCACTGCCGGAACCCTTTCCTTGTATCTACTGGTGCAGCTTGCTTTGCGTTACTCTTGATTATCTATTTAGGACGTTGGTCCGACTAAATAAATATAAAAAGCCTTACCTACCACTTACTGGTTAGTGTTTCTATTCACCGCAGTTCTGTTATTATAGCATCGTTGTGGTAGCTCTTAACTGATGTGCACACTGCGTGACTGTGCACATGAAGACTATACCGAGCGCCTTTGGAGTAAATGTATCACTTGTTGCTATAAACCGACGATGATAAATGAACTACCGCAGCAAAAGAGGTTATCCGCTTGGCAGGTTTTCGTATATGTCGGCGAACAACTGGCTAAAGCGCCCACGTAGAGTGCTTTTTGCTCGGCCAACGGAAACTTGTATGCCACCTGTCTGCGATTAAACGTGCGTTGCCAGTGCAACCATAATATTCAAATTATGGTCAAGGTCAGTGTTCCAGGAGGTGGTGGGTTTACACCTGGCCAGCGTTTTTCTATAACTAGCCAGCAATATCTGTATAACAACACTGCAACTCGGCTGATAGGACTCTCCACCAAACTAAAGTCACTGCCCACCGCTTAACACTGACAATGCTTACAATATCCAAACTGCGCGAACACGTTGTATGAACAAATCGCTAATTTTACTCCACCAGTGTTTATCAAATTTCTGTTGGGTTCTAGCGCTCAGTAAAAATATAGGTCATCACTGGAACCATTCGAACCCACCAGTCTAGGATTTTTGTATTAGAAACATCAAGAGCTTTTATACCAATTCAACCCCACGGTTCTCACTGACGCCAACAAGCAAGCCTAGTATTCTTGCAACAATCCTAAGCGAACATTATGAACGAAGTTTAGGCCCGTATATTTCTAAACTTACCTCCGCCGTTTCCCTGGTAGCACAAACGTAACACTAAACGTAGCAACCTGGACATAAACTGGACAGATGTCCACTTCAGGTATTAATGCATGACTTGCAGCTAAATGCCTTTAGTTTGACATTTGTTAATAAATTAATAGTTGATATGCATTATATTTGCTATTATTTGACCATAACCTTAACGGTTTAAATGCATCTGCAGGTCTTTTTATTTGGCCGTTTTCGGTTTCGTAACCTTGGTCGCTGATCCTGCTTCGTTCTGTGCTATTGTCTAGCTTCTTTGAAACTGCGTTTCCGCAGGTGTACCTGTCAGGTATATCGGTTAAACATTGTTTGATACGTAGGTGTTCCTTTTCAGCATGTCACGTCGACGAAGTTATCAATTAACTGCACAGTTTCCGTCTCGTAACACAATCTACCGTGCAACGAAAAGAATGACATCAGGATTCAGCTACGAAGAGGTGCTTCTGTTGTCAGAAGCTAAACGACAGAAGGGTAAGAGCATCTTTAACATATCTTAAATATCATTGCTTACACAGTTCAGCCACCTGCACACGTTATCAACCGCAGTGAAGATGACAGGGACCCCGAGGAATTGGTACATAACTTGAGAAAATTGATTGCAAAATCTCAAGTACCTGCGTCTTTTGTTCGTCCACTGTTGTGCCTTGTGCAGCCGTGGATGCCATTTTTGCCAAAGGATTACCGGACATTGATGCGCAACCCACGGACCTCCCGCATTCGCGTTGTTTCACCGGGAACTTACGGTCACGTAGGTCTGCTGAGAGGTTTACAGCGTGCATGCTCTGCTATTTCGCTCGCCGCTGATGACACTGTTGACTATCAGTGGCATATGGACGGGTTTAAACCTTTAATGCATGTATTTTTACATGATTACTTTGACCTTTATGGTCCCAGTGAGATGACGTGGAACGTACACTCACTGGTTCATCTTTCCGCTGACGTACGAAAGATGGTTACTCTAGACAGCTCCTCAGCATTTCCCTTCGAGTCTCACTTGTTTGCCATCAAGCGCATGATTCACAATTCCCCGCGTCCGGTTGCTCAAACCATGCGGCGTACGTCGGAAGAGGAACAGCTTCCTCCTACTTCCAGCAACGCAGGCACCGTTGGGAATGTAGAGACGTGCACCTAAAAGGGGCAGAAGGCGTTTTGTCTGCACGGCATTTTGTTTTCCACTGTGAAGCCGGATAATGTGGTCATCATCGATGCAA